CAATACCTCGGCTGGGTTTGGCCTCGCGGGAGTTTCTTCTCTTTTGTTGTAAACCACCTTACCCACAGCGTGGAAAATACCTAGACTGGCTTCGCGTTGAGATATCAGCTCCAATGTGTCTTGCTCCCCCTTCGTCATGGAAATGCCGGCCTTGGCGCCCTTCGACTGCTTGGATAAAGCAACCTTGGCTCCCCAGTCGGCGTCTTGATCGCCCTTCAAGCACATGAACTCTAGCGACGATATCGCACTTCGAATGTCACCAATCTCGCCCAGTCGCTTCAGCACTTGAGGCCCCGGGGTGCGTTTCCGGCCAGACTTTCGCGCCTCCTTCATGACCACCAACTCCAGTGCTTTCGCGAGGAGCGTGGGCGCGATGGCGTTGAACTCGATGACCCTTGCGCCGGGGTGTCGCAGGATATCGGGGCCAAGCAGGCGATGCGCAGTGAAGCTGTCCGCCGAAGCCGAGGTCGTGGTCAGCAGCGTTTCCGAGATGACCAAGACGATCGGCGTGATTGGCTCATGTGAAGGCCGGCGACCGAAGGCAGAGAGTGCGGGCGTGTTTGTCGCCAGGTAGTCCAAAATGGTATTTCTGAATGATGTCAAGGCTGACGATGACCTCGAAAAGGTGTTTGGGAACTCTTCCACAAGGATGATCTTCTGCGTTGAAGGATCCGACTTCTCGGTCTTTGGCCGCGGCGCCTCCGCCGTCAGATCCAGATCGAGCTGACCGAACTTCCCGCCTCTGCCTAGGAACTCCTGAAACTGCCCGGATGCAGACGAGTAGCCCAGGTTTGCACCGTTCGCACTGGTCGGATTCCTCCACTCCAGCAGCTCGGCGCCCATATCCTTAGCCAGCAGTCTCATCGTCGTAGTCTTGCCGGAGCCCGCCGCACCTTTGAGGAGCAGCAATCGCTGGCGCAAGCGTCCGCTCACAACGTCCTCCAACCATTTCCGCACATCCGCGACCTTTCTTTTGTGTACCGCGAGCTCGTCTAGGTTGATGGGCCCAAAGCGCTCTGACCATGGCCGCAAGTCGTCGTCAAGTGCTGCTGGTGTCGTCGGGCGCGTGGGCTTGAGGAACTTCTGGCTTGCGGTGAAAGACGCTGCTGACGAAGCAGGAGTGTTGTCGCGGAACCGCTTGCGCGCGTTCTGGCCGACTATGCTCGAGGTGCTCGCTTTCTGGTCCGCAAAGTCGTCGTCGGAGATGGGATCGCTCACGATGTCATCGAGAGGAACGGTCCTCGACGACCCAGGCTTGGCAGTCGTTCGTTGCGCCTGTTTCGAGAACAGTGTCATGAGGTCGCCGTTCTTCCCCTTCTCCTCGACCTTGATGCGCTTCTGCCCTTTGCCCTTCGCCTTCTCTGGGCTCGTACTCGGGCTCTTGGTGCCCTTGTTCGATCCATTTCGTGCTTGGAGGACGGACGGTGTTGGTATGGGTTTGCCTGTGTCGGCGGTTCGAGATCGTGTCTTCGTCGGGCTCGGCGATGCGGTCGCGTTTCTGCTCCCAGCTTTGGAGTTGGGGGAGGAAAATAGGTAGTTCGTCAAGGTGTTCGTCTTCGGACGCTCGTCTTCATCATCGTCGGATTCCACGACATTGCGCCGCCTTCTTTTGGCCGGCGGAGCCATTGGGAAGGTTGTCGTTTGGCAAGATTAACATGAGGGGTGCATGATCTCGGCGGGTGCAGAAATCAACGCGTCTTTGCTGGTGACGTTGACGAACGGGGGATGTTAAAAACAAGCAAAAGCAAGCAGGTGCACCTTGGGCGGCTAGTGAAGGCAGCTTCCTCGTCATTTGCAGCCTCGCGAATCTGGACCCCCACTTTGATTGGCACTTTACAGTGGGTGGGCACTAATCGGCTGCTAAATCGTCGGTGCCTGAGCGAACTTCGTCCCGCCCGGCTGCAGCTCAATTAGCGAACCCATGTACATGGAGGTATCTATGTCACATATTAGAGAGACAGACACTTGGAGCCAGTCGACACAGGGATATGGTCAAGTGAAAATATCAAAAAGATTTGATTGATGATGTAAATTATCAGTGTAATAGTTATTTTGTTCATTACACAAGCGCAGGTTACTGAGCGCCAATCCTGGCCTCCTAGATGCCACCACACTGTGAAGAGTGACATACAAACGACTCCGCCAAAACGAGAGCTCACAATTACAAGTCCAACTTCATTCTCATTATGTACGCCCTGTTGCACAGTATTAATGACAGACTGTCGCGTATTCGTTCAGTTACAAGTTCGGTCGAGCGAGGGTCACCGCGTTATCGGCATATGCTGTTAATTTCAGACAAAACTACTGTTGACTTAGAACGTCCATCCGTGGAAGTTATCGACGAATGTCAGCGCAGAGGCGAGGTACCGCTCGTGGACGTCGCCCCACGTCCTCGCGGCTTCCTTCATGGCACGAATGGCTGTGACCATTAGATACGAGTCCCTTGCTTCAGCATCTGAAGAGGTACCTTTGACAAAGTGAGCGTCCTTGGCCCACTGCGAGTTCAGGGCCGCCTCCTCGACGTGGCCCCAGTGTCGCTGCTTCAGGTCTGTATCGACGTTGTCAGGATCGATCTTCGGTCGCAGGAGGACGATGTACACCGCGAGGGTGAACAGCCACCATTGCCGGACCAGGCTCACGTGGAACTTGGTCGGGATGAATGGGATGAGGATTCGCACGGCGTGGCTCGTCGTCAGCAGGTGGACTGTGAAGAAGTTATAGGCGTGGGTGCCTCGTGGAACGGTGGCCACGAGCAGCGCCACGGCCAGCTCCTGAGACTCTTCAAATTGCTTCACGGGGTCTGTGATGTTCCACGCGTTCCAGTACTCCAGCACGAGATCCTCGTGCTTCTCGAATAACGGCTCAATGTTCTCCGCATTTGGCTCCTTGAAGAGCCCATCGAATCGCTTGTCCTTCGCCAGCTTGTCCATGATTTCGAACGTCGACTTCGAGCTAAATGAGGAGGGCTTCGAGTACTTTTTGTGGTCGAGGTACTTGTGGAAAAAGTTGTAATTCGTCGTGGCAAGACCGAGTGCCTCAATGGCAACCTCCTTGCTGTCAATTTCGTATGCGTATCCGAGGTGGATGAGCGGGTGGCCGACTTCAACGAATGTCAGCAACAACACCAAGAGAATCTCTCAGGTCATACGTACGACCGCCAATAAGCGCATTTACCAAAGGCTCCTTGTCTTCGAACAAGAACTTGTTTACGACCTTCTTCCAATCGTACCCGCAGCGCAGCGCCAGCTCGTCTTCAAAGAAGTCAACGTACGCCCTCTGATACCTCTTGTCACCCAGGAAGTCCCGCCAGTCGTCCTCGGTGACCTCATCGGGCGACTCAGTCCATGGCTCCAGCTCTTTCGTCTCGATCTCGTAGAGGTCTTGGAGCTGCTTGTCGTTTGCGCCGAGCAGGTACGCCGAGCCGAGGATGTGCGGCGCATGGTTGTGAAACTCGAGGTTATGGTAGAGAATGGCATGGTTGGCGTGGTTCGCCCTCAAAAGGTGCTTGAGGCATCGCGCGCGCTTCTCAGGGTCGGTCTCGACGTTGTGGACTTCGACGGGAGGAATGTCGATAGCTTGGGCGTCGTCTCCGATGAGCCTGTTGACGATTGGGACGTATGATAGGATTCCTGCCATGTTGAATGTCTTGTGGGTATATCTTAGTGTGGTTTCAAGCGGTTCACATTATTGGAGAATCCAAGAAGAAGAACTGCTGCCGAGGGGCGCAAAAAAGTAGCCGTCGACATGGCGCGATCCGAGGGAAGCGTTGGGACCTAAAAGTGACGTGTTGATGGGTTTGAGGGAGTGGGGTACGCGAATGCAGGGTGTGCACGGTCGATTTTGCAGGGACGCTCCCGCCTCTAAGGCGCTGAAGCGTTGGCAAGCCCAACCCCGCCATTCAGCAGATGGCGCTGCCCCGCTGTCGAGCGTCTGGGTCCGGGGACTTTGAAGCCAACAGAAAGAATTTGACAATGCATTTGTCGTCTTTGTCTGCGCTGGACAACCTTCTTTTCTCTTTCTCTCCATTAACGCTACTGAGATATTCAAGCATCACGAGAGAGACCGGTTTTTCGGGTAATGGCGGGACAGTCTACCCTCGACGGCAGACCGCAGGATCCGAGCCGGGGCAAGGGATCTCAACAAATGTCGGGTTCATGGAGCCAGCTCCGGCCATGGACATGGATGCAGCGCTGCAGCGGCGCTGCAGCGGTCCGTCGGCCAAATTCGAGGTTGCACAATGAGGCTCGAGTTTTGGGCTCGAGTCGTCGAGAAGCAGACGAATCTCCGGGCCTCATGATCGCCCTTTTCGATGCCAGTGGCACAGAGCTGGTAAAGCCCATCACATACGCGTCATATGTCTTGCTCTAGGCCCGCGAACAGATCTGAGAGCGGTAGACTGCTGGCAGAGCTTGATCTTCGAGTAGTTTGGGCTTCGAGACTCGGGCGTGAGCTGGTTTAAGTACCCTGACACACCCTTGCTTTGCCATTTCACAGCAATCCTTCCGCGAGATGTGAGACCGAGTCAACTCAAGTGGTTTGCAAGAGGGATCTTTGGTGTCTGGGGACAAGCCGCAGGCCCGAGACACCTAGGTCAGCTTCAGTTGCAATCCTGCGGCTTACCTAACGGCAACATGTGGGATGAGCGACCTCGAGCAAGACCGGCGATGTGATTCTCGGTGAACCAAGGGCATCTGATTGGTATGTAAATACGGGGCGCGGGAGCCATTGACCAATAGAAACCCCTACTTTGACCGAGAATACTATCGCGAAGTTGGCGCTCAAGATGCAGGACGAAGAGCCTCAGCATGGGAGGTGTGTTATAACATGGTGTGAACAAGTGACAGAACCCCCGCTCTCACGATGCAAACTTCGCAACTACACACCCCAAGTCACAATTTGAGCGGTCTTCCTGCAAAATCCCTGACTATTCTGGGTCTTCACAATCCCGTTTGTGCATAAGTCGTCCACTTAGAGTGACTTATACCACCGAAATGACCAACATGGGTTTGGTGAACAACATCAACAACTTTTTGGACTCCTACCGTCCGAGCCCAACACCTGATCTGCGCACACCCGGTGTCCAGCGGGGCATGGGTTCCGTCGGGAATGTAGAGGAGCCATCAGATACATACTTCCGGGACGCAATCTGGTCTTATGAAGAGTATGACAGCTCTTCAGGTGGCTCTTTTCCAAGCAGCCAGGAAGCAAACATGCTCTTCACCTATGCTCGTTCGGAGAGCTCCCAGCTAACCACGGACAACTCTTCCATCCACACACCACCACCGCCGGATGATGTTACCATCGACAAGCCAGAGCCAACTACCCCCATTGACATCGATGAGCTTGTTGGCGACGACCTTACTATCCCATACTACGACAAGAGCCAAGCACTTCCTAGACCCCAGACTCTTGACATCCCGCATCGTGTCTCCAAGACTCGGGTGGTGAAGGATGTCGTCAAGACCAACCAGGTCAGGGGTGCTGGAGCATGTATCAAGTGCCGCCTTCAAAGGATTTCTTGCTCGACTTCTTACCCATGTGAGACTTGCAAGAAGGCCTATCCGCAGTACCATCAGACTCCTGAGGTCTGCTGCATTCGCTATGAGTTGTCCAATGTCGCAAGGGAACTTGCTTTCAGGCGTTGTAAGTTCATCCTTATCCCTTCTTTCTCAGAAACTGCTTCACCGACTACACGCCTACTGCATGCTAATTACACATAAGTTGATTGCTTGCTGAGAAATGAAGACGCTGCTGTAAGAGAAAACTTTCGAATGGCACAGCCAAGATTCAGTGACAATGTCATTGTGGGACACATTCTCTTTGACCGAGACACTTCCAAGCCTGGCTTTCCTGCTGTCCTCAGGAATTACATCTGCTCAGCAGACGGCCGCAACGTCGCACACAGGGGGTGTACCTTTGCGAGAGACCACAACAACGCTGCCCTTCAAACCCAGCCACTCATCGACTGGGCCGAGAATCTTGCGCCACCAGTAGAGAACAGCACATTTGAGGGAGCTCTTGAGTCTTTTGTCAAGATCTGTGCTAGATCCAACTGCCTCAATAGCTTTCGTCCAGAGGTAAGACAAGTACACTCCACCACACATTGTCTACCCTGGCTCACATAATCTAGATCAGAACGCTGGCGCAAAAGGCCCACGTGGTCAAGTGCATGTACAAGATCTACCGCTCACGGACGCTCTACTTTTTCCAGGCCAACAAGCTCCAAGAACTACCCGGCCCTGCCCATGCTGAGATTCGAGGTGTGGCCCGATCAGCCCTCGAGTCATCCGAGCGCGACCTCCTCGCCGAACTCGACAAGTTCTTCAAGACGCAGAAGCAGAAGCTCGACGACAAGGAGCGGCCCATCGTCTGGGCTGCCCTTTGGCAGCTAATGCTCGTCTACCGTGACCTGCTCCGGAACATGAAGCCCTTTGGGAACAACGCCGAACCTCTCTTGAATGCAGTCGCAGTCTTCTATGGTGCTTGCTTCAGGACTTCTGCGTCTTTGAAGCTGTCCTTGGAGACTCTCAAGGATCCCCGAACCTTCAACTTGGCTCAACAAGCTGAACTTGCGGATGCATTCAAGTACATTTTGAGCCTACGCGATACTTTCTGTAAGTTCTCGAGCCTCGCAAGATATGAAATCGTCTGACAGGAAATCCATAGATCAGAGCATTGTTGCAGGTGTCGCTACTATTGATCAGCGGCTTAAAGACCTAGTCGTGGCTCCTGAAATGAAGGTCTTGAACCGCAGGCCGAACAAGAAGGCGACCAATGGGAAACTAGGTGATGACTTGGTGATGGGAGGTTGCTGAAGAGGGAGCCGCAAAGTTTTCTGTAATTAATCGTCAAAAGCGAGTTGTTTTGGTACCTTCAAGGCTCTAGGCTGTACGGCAGGATTTCGTTTCTCAACTCATAGGATACCCGGGTTCATTGGCATTAGCTACATCATATCTCACTAATCTTCACGCACGCATTTGAGCAAACAACTCCGATAGTTACACGACGAAGAGCATCTTGATCTTGGCTCACGAGCTCGACTTTGACATCGCTCAGGCCTCAGGTATACCTTTCGCATGAGACCAGCTCAGCATCGTTTCTAGTAATTGCAGCATTAGTTTAAAGCAGCATAGCCCGCAGCTGTCAGATAAGGCTAGGTCTATATGTTATAAGACCAAGAGTCTCCGAGAGTGACCCAGACATGTAACATCGCGCTGTGAAAACCCCGCATTTGCTTGGTAGGGTGGAACTGTGCTTAAGTATTCTATTTAATGCTGTGAAATGAAGTCGTGAATCGTTAGTGTGAACCCTTTTACCGCTTTCTAAGTGCCCGATTGATGGTAGTAATGATGTCTTCACGTGCTGCTTCGATGTCGACTTGTTCTCCTATAAGATGTTCTGGGAGGATCTTCCAAGGGGCAATGCAGTCCAAGCCATTACCCCCACGGGTAGACATCTCGTTGAACACTGCTGACATTCCCGCAACAGTGTTAAGTCTCATAACAAGTTCGATCCGGTCTTTAGTATCCGGATGCCGCACGAACTCGAGAGCCAGACCGGCAACAGCTGCCCCGATCATTGTTGAGTACGATGTTCCAGATAGTGACATGATGCCTCCCAGGCTAGGAAGATCTATATTCTCTCCGAGTATAGCTTCGCTATACCTAGCATGGACATTGGGTGAAGGATTGAGATTGTCGGTATCTCTGACGTTCGGTTTCGTTGAGAACATACAGAACAGCTTCAATTCGATGTATGTCCGGGCGGGGAGCGCTATTTGCTTGAGATTACCGTAGTTCGAGGCTGCTGCGAATATAAGAATCCCAGCGTGTCGAGCTTCGTCTATCGCGTGCTCTAGTTGCGCGTTGTCATCATCGAATCCAGAGGCCATCACAATTATCTCAGCACCCCATTGATTCTTGGCGTACAGAATTGCCTACGAAATTAGCATGTTGGTACAAAGACAGCAGTATCGAAATACTTACGTCGGCCATTAAGGCAGCCGTGTACTCTGTCGCATCGCTCTTTTCGAAGACTCTCCCGATATATATCTCAGCGTCTGGGTATATCCTCGTTATCAAAGATACGGCCGCGGTCCCATGTCCTGTAGAGTCTTGAAACTCGGAATCGTTGCGGGAAACGAAGTCTTTATACTCGCTCACGAGCCTCTTGAATCTCTTCAGAACCCCGGTATCTAGAATTGCAATCTTTACGCGCCGAACTTCCCGTATAGGGGAGCGAATGACTCGATATAGGTTGTCAAACTCGTGAAACCAATGATCTGACGAGATTGTCTCTTTGCTGCTCACACATCAGAAAATGAGCATTGCGAAAAGTATTCAGAAGCCAGCCCGTACCTCATTGTACATCCATAGGCAGGAGTAGGCGGTCGACTATCCCTGGTTTGGTGCGAGTCGAGTTCTGGGAAAGCGCGTACTTGGTGGCTATGATTGACAGCACACTCGGTTATAGCATAGTTTGCAATAGGCCCTGTGAAAGTCGTACTGTTGCTTGCTGGAAAATTGCAGCATGATAGGTGAGAAGGTTTTGCCGGTTGAGAGGGCGCGTGCTCCTGGACGAAGTGTGCTTTATCTGTATATTTTGCAAGGCTGATTGGTTTCACTTCGTCGATGTCGGGATCTTTGTCCCATTCACTGTATAGTGAGTATAGAACGTTAACGATATCCGTTCAATTGCTCGTCGCAGCCCCTCGACATCGTTGGTGTACTTGACGAAGTAGTCCAGGTCGATACAGTATTTGATGAACCTGCCGAAGTGTAAAATGTACTCGTTCGTTTCTTTATGTTCGTTGAACTCCTCCCGGGCTGTATAGTAGCTCGTGTTGGGGGTGGGCTTCCCATTTCCATCGAGGAATTCAGGTCTGGAAGTTTCCAAATCCTTACCAAGGCCGATCTCTAAGAACATGGTTCCTAGGGCTAAGATTTTCGGGAAAGGATGTAATGGCTTTTGGCCGCCCGAAGGATGACGCTAGAATTTTGTAGACAAGAACGGTTCACTGACAAGAATCATCGTTGGATTTGATGACCCGGATGTAAGCATGAAATGGACGTCGTGCTTGGTCCAAGGATAACGCATCCATTCAGAGGAATACAGTTGCCAGAAGGATTTCGCGAGAATGTACGATAGAAGTACCTTGTGAGTAGGGTTCAGCTGCACGTAAGCGTGTTTGATCAAGTCGTTCAGAGAGACGCTGGATTCTTTTAAGAGAGACCCGTCCACTCGCTCTCGCTCTGTCTGAGACACAATAACTTCATCTTCGGCAACTAAAAGTCCTAGTTGGGTTTGTTTCCTGTTTGTAATTACGCCACAGAAAGTTTCTGGCGATATTGCGTTGGAATTCTGGTGTTGGGTAGGTAAAGTAGATGCAGTGTCATGCTCACCCTGAAACCTGACCTCGCTATAGACAGTGTCAGATACACTCCTATTGATATCCGTTCGTGTTCAATGGACTCAACTCCTTCGTGAGATAAACACGCGAACGTCCTGCCAGTGGGGTGGATTGCTTTGGTTATCACAATGCGGATGATCTAGGGAGAACAGCCGAAAACTCATCCCATCTTGAAGTTCGTCTCTGGCACAGCATGACCTCAATTGGAGGTTTGCCGTGATGCTTGCATCCTTGCCCTGCAGTGAGCATAGGCACAACGGCAAGAGTGTACTGTACAGTGCCCTTGTGTATGATTGACAGTCCGGCCTCTGGAGGTTTCTCTTTTTCGGATCTGGCTCGATGCCACTGATTGGTCTCTTGTGCGTCGAGAGTCGCTGAAAACGACCGATGATCTTCAATTGCATATCCGGTCTTTTCTTCCTCCTCGCCAACTTGTTAAGCCGTGTTTTCGACCGTCGGTCTTTGATAAGAAGTCGGAGCGTTGGGTACTGATTCAAGTTTCCAGGGTCGCCAATGATAGGTGAGGTTTTCAAATAGCCATACTGTAGGGAACAGGTCTCGTTATCTGACTAGTCCTGGCCTGGATAATTTAGCATGAGCAGTGTCTACCTTGCATAGCTCCTCTAGAGATCTCAAAAGTTCTCTCATCCATTCCACCACATCTGCGTGATCTGCATTCCTCAGGCTGTGGAGATACTCCTCTGTGCAAAAGAGCTGGCTTCGCAAAATGCCGTAGATTGTCTCGTCTTCTTGATTTGCGATTGCGGACACTATCGAGACGACTGCCCGGACTGCGTCTTTTGCGAATTGAAGCGTATCGTCGGTCATCGCAGCCGTTGTCGATGATTTTGGTAAAGATGCACCAAGGTAGGAGAGGAGCAGCATCGGCAGCCGCCTGGGTGTTAGCTCGCAACCCGGGCTAAAGAGCTTGCCTCCCCCGCCTTGGACATGTTCGGTACTTTTGCTATCGTTGCGTCCCAATCAGATTTCAATGAGGCTCGTCTTGGCATGCTTACCTCCTCAATGTCTGACGATTGGTTTCAAGTACGTACTGCAGTTTTATGCGGTGATTGTGGCACAGCTGCCCCTACCGCCGTTGACCGCCATCGCCAGGTGGATAAGTCGACATGTCGGTCGGAACGGAATTCGTAGTATGGCGATCGATGCAACGCCTGAACGAACGAACATTAATGTCTCAATTGCCGTTGGGTTATAAGTTATATACATAGCCATGAATGCCTACTTCACCTTTACAATAGGCATTTGAAATTGGAAGAACAGTGATTTTCAGCGTCAATATCCCTCAAATGCTCTGAAAAACAAACGTGTCGGATCCCATACTAATTTCACTTGGCAGGTCTATGCACAATCCTTCTTGCATCAATGCTTCAGCAACCGTGCTCTCGTGGGCCTGATCCTCGCCTGACCCAAATGTTGCCCCGCGCGACAATGTCTTGTACGACCATTTTTTGTCAATTAAGCCCTTCGATATCTTTGCCAGACGAACAGCCCAAACGAAATCGGTGGTTTTCTGGGCCGACGACGAAAATGAACGGCTCTGAGAAGACCCAGCTTGACCCCCAACTTCAGCTATGGACGCGAATCCACTAAACACAGTAAGCGTTGGCTGCTTAAAGGCCTCGTTTCCAACTTACACTCCAGGTCCGCCGTAAATGGAACGATTGTGGCTTCTCCCAGTTCTGACAGTAGCGCCTCTTGCGACAACTATGCCGGTAATCATGAAAATTTTGGAAGTGCTAAGAGTGCCTTTCGATTCGAAATACCTGACAACCTCCTCGGCCTTCAAACTATCCTCGATGTATGCAACGGTGGGTTGAATGAGAAAGGTCTCCAATGACTCGAACTGCCAAAACTTGTTGACCGTCTTTTGGAATGCAACACCAGCGTTTGATGTGACCGATAAGCCAGCTGCAGCGGCAACGGGAATGCCAGCTGTCACGGAAAAGTCCATTTCGCTACCTTGATCCATCTCCCACTCAAATCCCCAAGCTTTGGTCGGGTAGCAGGGCATGCTCGGAGGCACATCTACCAAGCCCTCTCTATTGACGACATTGTCCAAGTGTTGTAGGTCAGGTATCAAGTGGCCCAGGCAGATGGGCCCGCTGGATGCTCCGACACCATCTTCGGGGATCGTTGGGGGAGGGTAATGAGTTTGCGACAGCACGAACCAACATTTTGATGCCATGTTTCGCTGAGTCGTCTTTTGCCATCAATCGGAGCTATGGGCGATTGCGGATGGAACAGGCCGATTTAAGTATCAAGAGGGGTGAGATGACAGACATCTTAAGAGGCCTCCGGAACACCGCCGCCGCGACATAATGCAGCCCTGCAACCGTCATTCGCCGCATTATCGAGCACTTCCGCTCACATGACGTGTTCACAGCC